GGGTGGGCCAGGCCATGGGGAAGGAGTTTGGGGCGGAATCCTGCTGTTTTGGTGAACGCCTGCTCTCCGAACACTGGGGTCCCCAGTCAGTGATCACCAGGCTGGGCCAACCTCCAGGCAGGCTGTTCCCATTGTGCCCCAAGCGTGGGGGCTGGCAGGGCCTGGGGAGCGGGTGGGCGTGCTCCAGCAGTGGGTGCAGAGGGTGTTCGAGGCCAGGGTGGATGCCTGGCTTATGAGTCACGTTTGCCGGGGCCGGGAAGGGGCGGAGGGATGGGGAAAGGCTCCAAAGGGCTTTCCTGCTGCTTGCACCCTCTGCAAAGTGCCCGTCTGTCACGTGCTTCCTAGGTGCCTGTGTCTCTCCTGCCTCTTGCCCCGTATCTCAGCCCACATCCCGCTGGCGCTGCTGGGTATGGGGAGAGGCAGGGCTGTGGGCACTGTGCGCAGGCAGCCTGGCGCCTCAGCCTCCCCAGCCTCCCTGCCCGCACCCTGGCCTAGTGCCTGCCCACGCTCTGCTCCATGGGGCGGGGAGAAGCGGACACAGGGATAGAGGCAATGGAGCCATCCGGCCAGGGGCTTGTGAGCAGGTATCATCCAAGGGAGCCTTGGCTCTGGTTCTCTTCACCCTGCTTGGCCTCCAGCTGTGCCAGCCGCATGCCGGTGAACGTGGCATGCAGCCCGCTGGAGTTTTGGGAAGCCCGTGGCTTTCCGTCAGCTCTGGGACTGTCAAACCAGCTATTCCCCTGTGACCCGCAGCAGGCTCAGCCCTGGGGAAAACGCAGCTTTGCAGGCAACTGCTCTGCAGGGAGAAGAAATCCTTCACCAGGAAATTCCCACCGAGAAAGGCAGCGCTCTTCCCAGGCTGTCGTAGGGCTGGAAATGGAGGCGAGCGCGCCTCTGAACGCTCATTTCCCCCTGCACCCCGCAGGCGCGTGGGGTGGGAGGTGCCCGTGTATGCACGGGCATATACAGTCCTGCTGAAGGGACGCTGTTTTTCCTGTCAGGGTTGGATGCTCTCCAGGAGCAGTTTAGAGATTTAAATTCAGTGGCTGCTAAAACCTTGGGACTGCAAGTCAAAACATCCTGAAATACATTCCAGGCGGTGATAAAGATCAGGATGAAACAAGAGCAAACCCCAGGGGAGGTATGAGGGGGCTCAGAGGAGTGAGGCAGCATGGAGGCAGCAGGACCTGCACGCCCACCTCACCCTCCCTGCTCAGGATGGTGGATACAGCCCTCACTGAGCCGCAGCAGCCCGAGCTGGGATGCCTCTGGCGTCCGGGGACATGCCGGTGGGACGGCTCCCCCTGCCTTTTGCTGCAGCAGCTGGGATGGTTGCAGAGCTGTTTGCACCCCCGGAGCAGCACAGACCCGGCGGGCAGCAGGGTGGGAGCTGTATGGGACAGCTGTGGTCAAGGACCGACAGGGAGGTCGCGGCCCTCCAGCTCCCGTGGCACCCGCAGCAGCACCAGCGAGACATTGTGCTGGGGACCACAGCAGCCATCGCGTCCCCCTCAGACATGGCAAGGGGTGGCCCAGCCCCGGGTTTGACGTGCTCGTGGGGATTAGCTTTTTGGGCACACAGCTGAGGCAGGGCTGGGGGAGCTGCAGTGGATCTGTGCAGGGTCGAACCTGCACTGCAGGCTCCGGCACTAACCCTCTCCCAGCCTCTGTCCTCCCGGAGCTGCTGCGGGTCGGGCTGTCACCCGCCACCCGCAGCAGCACCAGCGGTGCTGGGGACCACAGCAGCCATCGCGTCCCCCTCAGACATGGCAAGGGGTGGCCCAGCCCCGGGTTTGACGTGCTCGTGGGGATTAGCTTTTTGGGCACACAGCTGAGGCAGGGCTGGGGGAGAGCTGCAGTGGATCTGTGCAGGGTAGAACCTGCACTGCAGGCTCCGGCACTAACCCTCTCCCAGCCTCTGTCCTCCCGGAGCTGCTGCGGGTCGGGCTGTGCCCTCAGAGGACGGTGAGGCTCAGCCCTGCCGTCCCCACCGTCCCCTCCGCGGGCAGGGCAGGGTCCTCGCCCGGAGCAGGGGGAGGGACCGGCCTCCCTCGCTGGACGTGCCCCAGGGCACCCGTGCGCCTGGTGAGGCGGAGCCGCCTCCTGGGTCAGTCCGCACCGATTCTGCAGCACCCGTCGCCAACAGCACCCGCAGATGGGTACACAACAAGCTGCAGCTCCGGGCCGCTGGTCCCCAGGCCTGCAG